TCGGAAAGAAAAGTGCGCTGACTGAAACGTTACAATCCTGAACCAACACAATGAAAAAAGATACAACAATAGTTTTCTCAGATAACAAGTTCCTGTTTGCCCTGGTGTAAGAGGTCAAGTGCCACCATGAAGTGCAAGTATTTCCAAGAAAACGAGCTTTCAGGACATTACAACTTCACGCAAGACCTAACTGCAAGCAACAAATGCAAAGTTCTCAAAAGTGCTAAACTAAAAAAAAATACTCATAACTCATAATTCAGAAATCCCTAAAAATCACACAAATGAAATCCATAACTCAAATTCTACTATTTTCCTATGACCACAGAAATCTCAATTCTTCCACAGAAACTAAACATCAGAGAACTTACATTTTTCGGACCTTGGCAGAAACCACCAAAACAAAACAAAAACCTGATACAACTATCTTGATACTACCGATTCAAATACAAAACTTAAGCCAAGACAAGAATTAACCCCAAATTCAGCAACAAGTCCAACCAAGAAAGAAAATTCAATAACTCAAATCAAATCTATTACGATCCACTAGTAAATTCAAGACAAACTACTTGTAATCAACCGAAAATTCCCACTCATGAGTACAGAACAAAAGTAACTAATCTTCTCAAACTTATTTCAAAAATTTTCACAAAACAAATTCCCGTTGTCACAAAATTCTCATTAAAATTCACTTTCTACAATTCACAAGACTAACTCAATTTCTACTGTTTAAACAATTTTCACGTGACAACTCTTCACAAACTTAAAACTCATAAGATAACTAATCTCAATTACTCTGACTCATTAAATTAATTAGAACTTCACTCAAGCTGATGAATTCAATCCAAACAAATTACATATGCAAACATCACTATTGCTGATCTCAGGCAAAAATTCAAATCTAACCCATGTTCACTTTAAAACAGAATTTTGCACTTGAAAAAAATAATCTTCAATTTTTTTTTTTTTTACTCATTTATTTGTATCATTATGCCTTCAGAACTTATAAAATTCATTGCTCAGTACTAAATTAAATTTTCTAACACATTACACAATATACTGGAATTATAACAAAACATTGTAAATCAAAACGCAATAATATACTACGCTAGAGAATCATGAAAACATTACATACATTTCACAAAATATTATTCAATTAAGTCAAAAAAATCAAAATTTCTCTAACGTTACCCCTCACAATTACACATTTCACAAGATTCTAGGTTAAATAATTATCAAAAACACACACAAAAAAAAATTTCTAGCTACGCATAGCTATGGCTTGTCTCATCAGTAAAATAATTAGAGTCTTTAATCTCTTTTCTCTTAGAAGTGCTCAAAAAATGAGTCCAGTTTTTAAAGACAAGCACTCGAAACTTGTTACAAGGATACACAAATAGCATAGGATTATCGGGAAATAATTCATTTTCCATCTTGTATCAGAAATCAGAAATCAAAAATACACATCCAGAAAACACTCAAGGATTTTCAACAGTAAAAATGTACAGACCTATTCTGCTACATTAAAATATATATTTTTCCTAATTTTAAAGTTCAATTCTGTTTGCCTAACGTTAAAGTCCAAAAATTTTGAAATTCACACACATTTTCAAACTTCATCACTCTCGTATCAACAAATAAGCAAACACAAATCAAAAACTCTAATTAATCCTAGCACATAAAATTTAACACCTTCTTAAAACAGTAAGTTATACGAAATAATAAATTCAAAAAATGAGTTACCGATTCGATCCTTCACTAAGCAGAGGTCACGGCACCAATGTTAAATTTGTTTACTTCACGTGAGAGGATCGAATAAACACAAAAAAAATAAAACTTATCTTGAGGGGACATCTTGAAATGGAGGACCCTTATCTTATCAAGCGTTGACGTCGGCTGGGCTCATCTTTACACTGGTTCTCATGATGTCGACGCCACTTCACCACTGTAGAACAGAAACAGGAGCACTGCTGCCCAGGACGGCTATCCGCTTGGTCCTGAAAGTCCTATGTCAACACGCAGGTAACTCGTTCAAATTTCGCCTCTTTACCAGCACGCCGCAAGGAAGAGGGTTTTCAGCTTCAGGTCAGAAACGTTTCTTCTAGGCAATTACGGCTCGCCTGTTCTTACTCATCCCAAGAGCAAGCTTCACGAGTAACGTCCCAAGTAAATTCCACCCGCCAGTCAGTAAGAGAGAGAATCCAACTCGAATTTCCTTCAAGCCAGTTTTCAAGAGCAACGTCCTCTAGTCCAGCCAGCCCAAAAATCAGTGAGCCAGTCAGAGAGTGAGCCAAAAAGTCCAAGAATGAGTGCGTAAGAGAGTCGCCTCTTAAGCCCAAAACGCGGCCGGGGAGCATATTTGCCGCTCCCCGCCGGAAAACATCTCTCGTAGTCAATTACATTTATCTCCTTCAAGCCAGTTTTCAAGAGCAACGTCCACTAGTCCAGCCAGCCCAAAAATCAGTGAGTCCAAGCGTGAGTGCGTCTCGCCTCTTAACCAAAACGCGGCCGGGGAGCATATTTGCCGCTTCCCGCCGGGAAAACATTTTTCATCGTAATTACATCTTCTCTCTCGCTTTTTCAACCTGTTTTCAAGAGTAACATCCACAAGTCCAGCCAACCAGTAAGTGAGTCCAAGAGTGAGTGCGTAAGCGAGTCTCGCCTCTTAACCAAACGCGGCCGGGGAGCATATTTGCCGCTCCCCGCCGGAAAACATCTCTCTTAGTAATTACATTTTTTCCAGCAAGCCCGTAAGTCCAGCAAGCCCGAAAATCAGCGAGTCAGTCAGAGAGTGAGCCAAAAGTAAGTGTGTATCCAACTCGAATTTCCTTCGTCTCCTTCCCAAAACGGACTCCCACTATGGCTTCACTTATCGCCCCCTTAATTATGGCAAAATCTTCGTTTTCAACTCCAGAATGCGGAAATAAGGGTGATCGCGCATGCGCGCCCTTCTTCACTTAGCCAACAACCGGACCCTCAATCGCCAAAAACCTGAATGACTTACATTGAAAGACAAGTAGCAACCTTTGACCTTTCTGTCACGTACTTTCCTCTCTTAAGGTCAACTAACAATGAAAATTCTTTCTCGAACATTCTAAAAGACAAAGCGCGCGAAATCATGACTTGGCAACAATTGCCTCCCTTTCCCTGCTTCTTTCACAATGAATAAAAGTTTGTACAAGATTTGCAAATAGAGGAAAATAAATAATATTCTTTTAAACTAAATAATATTCCAAGAAGCATCTGTTTTTTCCCCAAAAATTAAAGCCTTAAAATAAATAATTCATAATCAAAAAAAAAATTAAGATTTCCATAAATCATAAAATCATTCACATAGTTTTTACAACGCTATCAGATAATTTCTGTACATAACAGTTACAGATAAAGTAACAATATTTCAGTTTAATAATATACGAGTAAAAATGGGTCATGAACGATACCGATTAAAATTAATTCTAACTATTTAAAATGAGTTATATAATGTTTACTAATATTTTAAAGTAGCATGAAAAATTTCTGATGGTAGAGCATTATCGTCTACAACTGCTATATATACACTCATATTATATGCTAATACAAAATAATGAGAATAGCTTAAAATACAATAAGGTGTTTGGAATGACATAATGTTGTTTAACAAAGATATCTAATGGTGCCCACATGATTTCCTTGTACGGCCTATTAAATTATACACATACTTTGTTGAATTTTATTTAATCTATTTCCTCGAAGTGCAATGGAGATATATTTCTAAATCAATCAATTCAGTTTGCACTTTGCGGCCAGGTAAAAGTACATAAAAAAATTCAAATGCCACTAAAAATTCTAAAATACAGAAAAACTCAAAACACGAAATGCAGTTAAAAACAATTAAAAAGAACATTTTTTTACCAGTAAAATTAGAGTTTCTATGCAAAAGCCAGCGCTTCGGCCAGAGGGCAGAAAAACATATTTTTTTGTGCACAAAACTGAATGCTAACTTTCAGTACCACTGGGACACCGAAGTTAGTGCACCAAATGACTTAATTCACTATTCTGCTAAGAGTTTTAAATGCAAACGAATGATGGCCTTATTAGGTCTAGCAGAGCTACTTACACTTTTAAACTGTTAATAATTCTACAACTGTTGCATGCAGATTAATAAAAGGCACAAAAACCTTAACTGGAATATAAGAGCAACATAAAATAATCACATTCAAAGCAAAGAATTCCCATTGTACCAACATATAAGAATAAAAATCCCTGAGCTCACGGAATAGGGTAAGAGAGTGCCAGTATTTATATATATTTACATACACCATGGGCGGCCGATTGCAACGAAAAAGCAAGAAAGCACAGCTAAATGTTATTGCAGTCCCGTATACAAAATTTCGACTTTCTACAGCCATCCGTTTTGGAATTATGCGAGATAAATACGTACGTAGGTCACGAAAAACAATTCTTCTAAATTCATTTTCAATTCATTTTACAATCTGTGTTGGGGAAAAGAGTCTTTTATTCTGTTCGCACGAACAAATGTCACGCAAAAACATCGTTCAAATGATCTCGAGAGCGACGAAAATGGATATTTTCATGAACTCTAAGTAACCCGTTAATATCCGAAAATTTCGTTGATACCCGAACGTTTTCGCGATTACCACGTTTCCTTTACTTGGTACAAAATAACTAAAAATCAAATACATGATAAAAATTGAGCTTTCCCTGCGTAGTTCCTCCTATAATGATCAAAAAGAGAAAATAATTGCTGGGATAAAAACTGGCAACTAACTATATTTGTCTAAAATTGACGTGTCTAGGTAAATCAAGTTATGTCAGGCATTGTGTTTGGACCGGTTTTATGTTATTCAATGTAAAATCTTAATGATTCTGAATCAAGATTGGCACATCGTATTCGAAATCGGTTTCCTTATTAATATGAATTTATCTTACGTTCGGGATAAAAATTTCACTCTTTCCTTTCAGGGAGGAAAAGTACGTGCAGTTTATTTTAATACTTTGTTCTCTTTCTCCTGACCACTGAGAACTTGAGTAGCTTTCATTACCTTTAATTTACCTCCCGAGGACATTGTTAATTCAAAGATATAGCTCATTGTATGATCGTATTCGTGTCGATTATTTTATTTGCACGGTCTTCATTCGTCTGCAACATTAAGCCAACAAGTATTATTAAAAGCATTTGTTCCCAGTTTGTTCAACTGCTAGCATTCAGCTTTACTAAAGTATTATCGAAAATTTTTACAACACCAACAAATCGTAATTGTTTCAACTGAAAATTCCTGGTAAGTTTTAAAATCATTATTCTATTATTATTAAACGCATGCATAAACTTGCATACTTACCCTTATATAAGTAAGAATTTTTGTAAAACGAATCAAACGCAAATGCAATAGTTTCTATCGCTTCTTGCTTATGCAGTCATTTCTTCGAACATTGTAGACAGGTTTTGGTTTTAAAAAGTAATAACGGAAAATTTGCTTTATGTTCTTACTGCAACGTTCTGAGATATCTTCTCCCTCCTTCCAGCGTGCCTTTGTGGTGTAAGGTAGCACACTCGGTGCGTATTCGAGAGGTCCAAGGTCGAGTCCCGGAGAGAGCAATGCTCATTTTTTTTCATGTCTCCTGCTCAAAATAACCTAATGACTTTACAAAGGCGCGCAAACTAAAAGGTGGTGAAGAATAATTCGTCACCACCAGTATTTGGTGATTGGGTCCTCTCATTTCCACTCACCTTTGAAAAGGGGGAGTATATGAGGTATTTTCCCCCTCCTTCCCGCTCGCCTTCATAGTACAATAGTAGCACCCTCGGCGCATATTCGAGAGGTCCAGGTTCGAGTCCCGGCGAAGGCTTTGCTCATTTTTCATGTCTTTTGCTTCACAATAACGTAGTGACTCTACAGCGTTTATATGCTAAGCAATTTGAATGACAATATATCATTGTAATCTAGCTAAATTATACAATTTTCTACAAGTTTTCTTTCTTAAGAGATTTTTAAGGAAGTTAAGGTTAGATTATTTGCATTATATAAAGCAGATAAGAAATTATCTGCTTTATATAATGCAAATAAAATTATCTTGTTCTTTCTAAGAGGATAGATGCCTTCGTAAAGAACTTTCTAAGAGAAACTGGCTAGTATCCACATGACTTACAGGAAAACTTAAAAAAGCTGCCTTGCAGCTAGCGTGTTCGCTGGAATTTGACCCCGAGACAGACTACCAGTAGTCAGTTATCTTACCACTCATTGGACTCATTTTTCAGGAAGCCTATTTATTGAGAAAGCTTAAACATTTTACACAGAGAACTAAATTAATTGAATGAGAAATATATGCATAACGAAATTCGAGGAAATAAGTGAAATGCGGCAAATAAATGAAATGCAGCAGAAATATGTATAATTTAATAGGCCGTGCAAGGAAGTCATGTAGTTTCCGTATCAGATTCTTTCTTCCTCTTTTCCGCTTGGCTTCGTGAGGTAACTTGAAGCACACTCTACGCGTATGCAGAAAATCCTGAGTTCGAATCTTGGTGAAGCTGTCTTCAGAATCCTGACATCGAAAAAAACACCTAAAGACTCTGTACAATATTTAAACTGTAGGCATACTTAAAATGTAAATTTCTAGGAAATTGGTTAACACAAATATTTTAATACTTTCATATAAGTGTTACGTTTAAAATTTAATTAAAACTTGTCCTCATTTCATAGTTAGCCAGAATTAACGATAATCTTACTCCATCTTAAAGTAGACGTTTTATATTTTTGCTGCATGTATTTGCTCATATGTTGATCCACTTTAATATTTTCCCGCTTATGAAATCGTGATAAGAAAAGAATGAATTGAGATGTGTTTCAAAACTATTTAAGACGTAAACAGAAAACCACAAGGAAAATATTAAAACCGAGGAAACAAAATTATGACATTAATAGAAATCTGGGAAGAAAAAAACCATAAAGGTAAAACTGGCTTGGTTTTATTTATTTATTTATTTATTTATTGTAAATTGTGGTTTATTAAACAGTCAGTGAAAATTCTAACGTTCGGTTGCAGTTAAAGTACATTATGTTAATTGAATATAATCACTGCACCCGACACGCTGCAAATAAATTATATAAAATGAAGGCTTACTCATTCCTGATGAGAGCATTAGGATTTACTAGTTAATAACAGAAAGATAGATTTTAATTATACTGCAATCTGCAAATATGTCAACAAAATCCTATTCAGTATTACCGAAAATCTAAAATTATAAATGATGATTCCGGTAAAAATAGGCGAAACTTGATGTATACTGTGAAAAAAAAGGGACACTTCCTGTATCTTCCGTTCTACTCGGCCGATAATGAACCGACGCAAAATCGCATAGCGAAAACAATAGTCCTTCAAGGACAAAGCCTCTTTGAACTAATATATAATATACTCTCGTTAATCGTGTTTCAGAAATGAGCGTAAAACGGAAAACGAAATGTTTGTCAGATGAAACTGACACTTTTCACCCTTCCAATAGGTTAGATGGTCACTTTACTTAACCTCTTCCGCCAAACTAAGTTAATGGCATTACAGGATTAGGAAGTCATCCTAGTCGTTGCTAGCAATCTGACGGTTAGGCTGCCTTTATACACTAAAGATTTTACATTAATCTTTAGTTTTTTGGATATAATTATTTTCATTCACTTGCTTCATTATCTCTAAGATGCCCTGGTTCCAGTCATAGTCCGTGAACAGTCTATTAACTGGACATGTGATGTAGTCGGAAGGAAAGAACTGCTGTCGAAGGTGATCTGTCAGAGGGCAGGAGAGCAGGTAATGAAGTGCGTCCGCGTCTTCCCCGTTGACGTCCGCAAAAACAGTTGACGTCCCGTCTGAGGAATCGTCTGTAATACGCTGGGAATTTCCCATGGTTGGTACAAGCCTGGAGGAAGAGTCGGTTGCATTTGAGCCTCTTGAGAGTAGGTATTGGGAAGATGTTGTAAGTAAATCTTCCTGTCTCTTCTTCCTGACATCGTGATGGCCATGTCTCTCGGAATGTTGTCTTGAGAGCCTTTTTTGCAACTTCTGCGGAAAGCTTCAATAGGCGCTTCTGTAGCTGCTTTGCTGTCTGAAGGAGCTAGGTTCGAAAAACTCTACATCATTCATGGCATTAAATAACTGAAGGGCCCTGGTTAGAATCCCGGAGAAGCCATGGATGTTTGTAAATGTTTGTAAATGTGGCATGGAGGCTTTCTAAATATATGGCGAGCCGAAACTCCATCAAAAAATAAGTAAACACTTAAAATATTCATTTTAGTAATGCAGTCAGTAAAATAAAGCGCATAGATATATGTTTTCTCTTGGAAATATTTTATAAAATAAATATTTTACTTAACCTTATATCCAAGAAATTGCCCTTTACCTTGTAATAGGATGTCCATCTTTGCTTTCTAACATTTCTAGTTCAAAATAAGCCCCATGCTAGACTTTTACAATATAGCCGTTAATGATGAAGCCTCATTCCTTAATTAGCCTACCGTAATCAAATCAAGGGTACCTAAAAAAGGCCTTAAAATTTTGTTTACATACTTACTTGAAGTTGATGATAGACGGAGATAATTCAACATTAAGTGTAGTTTTAAAAGATACATTTCCAACTCCTTTTATCATGTCCTATAAGAAATGCTGTTTTAGTTGTGTATAAATCTTAACTCATCTTCAACCAGTCCTGTGTAACAACATGTATGAGATTTCCTTTAACTAGCATTTACAATTTCATTTGAATCTTTTCTTTATATCTTGTTTCACCACGTATCGCTCAGTCTAGAGGTTTATGCAGATTTTAGGGCAAGCAGCATAGTTTAAATTGAGGGAAAGCATCATAACCCGCATAATTGATTTACTTATGATGTGAGTCGCCGTAAATAGTAATTTTTACCCAATAATACATCCAGCTCTTGTAGTATCCGTAACATTATTTTTAAAATCCAAAAAAACATCAATTATTTTCTGCAAATATTTACTTGTGTAGCTATTGTGGAAAATAGAAACGAAAATACTTCGGTTTTCTAATCTGTAGAGGTTTTGTTTCTGATTAGATTTGCTCTTAGATATTCATTTATGTAAAATAGCTGTTTCCTTACGTACAGATAACTTGCTATTATCCTAAGATGCCCTTGTTGCAAGCAAAAACATCTTTAAATTGCATTCGATAGCGGTCAAAATGGATATTTTCGGTGAAATATAATGCCTGAAACTTTTCACAATTACAATACTTCCCTTTTACTTCGTACAAGGAAGTAAAACATCTGATGTGTACATCACATATTATCAGGGTCAATGTTCCTTCTTACCTTCTTCGGGAACATGCAAGGACCTGACTCGGAACAGAGAGCTTACTAAAGCTATGTTCACTAATTGTGGGAAGTAGACAGGATACACAAGAAGGGTATGCAAAACCCTTTATTTTTCTCTATTTACAATGACTTCCGTACTTCGGATACACCGACCCGCTACTTGGGGTCAAAACGTAAAAATATAAAAATAAAACTAAATTCTAATTTAACTTTAGAATAATAAACGTGGAAGATTGGCCTTATAATAACAGGAAGCGTATGTAGTACAGAGAACTGTGAACACTACAATACGTTTAAATTTATCAAGAGGATTAAAACCTCTGGCCTGGAAGGCAACAAGCAACTGCGTAACTTCTAAGGTAAGCGGCCTGCTTCGACTCACTGCTTCCTCTCTCTCGCTTGGCAAAAAAGCCACAACTTAAATACTTGGCGTTCGCCAGACAAACTTTGCATAAAAACCTTAACGCTTATAATTCTGGCCGGAAGTAGAAAATAAGAAGTGATAGTAAAGATTTAAAATAAAATAAACGTTAGTAAAACTTAAGATCCTTACAATATGACTCCTTTGTACGGAATATTAAATTATACGCATTTTTTCTTGCATTTCATTTAAACTTATTGGGTTGAATTAAATCTACTTCGTGGATAGCGCATAAACCACAATATAATAAATGCACTCTTTAAAATTCACTATATTTGTTGACCAGAGCGACACTGTGGCCCTACTCTGCTTTGCCATAATTAAATAAAACAATTCGAAAGTCTGTTTCTCACCCCCCACCATTTTATGATATGCTTCATTACTGTGTTTAAAATTATCTTCCCTAAAGTTATCTAAGGAAGGTAATATATTAATTTTCTGTTATTTTTAGAAGCCTGATGTTTACCTAACATGGAGACATCGGACCATAAACTAAGCAACATGGAGCAGGAGATGTTAAAACAGGTAAATTACTGCAAATAAGAAAAGAATGAGTATTCACCTCTTTTTAAACGTTATGTAAATCAAATCTGGAATAACAATCTATATATAAAAAATTTGTTTTTTTTCCTGTAAGATGGATTATTTTATCGGTTATATATGCTGCAGACTGTGTATCAATTAAAGCAAAATTCTACTTTTCCTTTCACTTAACTCTGTTAACAAGACAGCATAGACGTTTTAGAATTTTATATGCAGGCTGAAACAGGAAATACGGCTGGTTTATTCTTACGAGTGGTTTTCGCTGTTACTGAAGACGAGATTAATAAAATTAAAAGTTGTAACAAGATGTCATAAATCTGAGCTTTGTTAGCTTCGTAAATATTTTATTATTCTCTTCTAAAACTAATATTTCTCTGAAGGTATATGTGCCTTGTTATTATAATAAAACATTTTATTGATAAAATGCATTCACATTTCATTTTTCACATTATAAAAAGAAAGAACTGCCTGTGTTGTAAAAGCCAAAAGGCAAAATATTCACAGAACTCCTGTTCTATCTTTGGCATTTATCCTTCAGTGCTTATTCATTTCATCGGTGTTAAAAAGGTTGTTTGTCCTTACATATTTCGTCAGTTACTATTATTCTGAAAATCCTTTTCTTTTAAACGTTTTTTACTGTTGCCATTTCTAATTTTCTGAAGTCTATCTTATCTTGACTACGCGCTTGAATGGACTAATTGTATTTGCACAGAGATTCACTTTATGCTGCTTTCAAGACGATTTCAGTTCATATGCTTCATGGAGCATTTTATAATTTCTTTTCGGATAGATTCAAAATAAAGAATATGTTTAAAGAATTGTCCAATTTTAAGGAATTCCATTTGTTGAAAGCTTAATACTGCTCAATTTTTCTAGTAAATGTGCTGACTAACCAAAGCTTTATGGTTAGGTTATTTAATTACGGCAAAGCCTCGAGGGCTATCTGCCTAAGGGGAGGGATGCCTTTCGTGGAGGACTTTCTAAGGGAAACTGGCTCGTATACACGTTACACATGGGGAAAACCACGAAAACTCCCATGCAGCCAGACCGTTCGCGGGATTCGAACCTCGGACCGAACTACCAGTGTTCAGCGACTTTACCGCTCGGCCGCTGGTGGGTCCTTCAAAGCTTTATGAACGCAGGGATTATGATGTGATAATATATTAGTCAGTATAACGTAAATAATACGTGATGAGAATAATATCTAACGGATCTAGAAGAGATGGGAGGTTTTATACTGAATTTGAGGAACGAACTGGGCTGAAATTTTAATTTCATCCTATGAGCTATCTATACTGTTGAGTACATCTGTGTGTCCCGGAGTCCCAGCTCAGAGGTCAACAATCCATCTCGCAATCGACAGAATTTTGTGACATCTGCTACCAAATCTGGTACAATCTCCTCCTGGATACTTACTAAAGGATATTTATTAGATTCTTCTCCATGACTGGCTGTTGTTATTTCTCTTGTCGAAGCTTGAACAACGCGAAGAATGAAGGATGGTCATAATGTTTTTGCCAGACTTTTAAAAGCTATTTTCAGGACAACCGTGTACCTATATGCAACAAAGTAACGCATGGGAAAATATTTGTCTCACAAAAGTACTTGTAAAAATGTACTTGTCTCAAATTTTTTTATTCAGGTACTTCTGGCATGAAAACGTATAATCCACGAGGTGCTAAATAGAGTTGCAAAACTGGCTTATATTACTAATTTAATAATATTGGTTGATTAGATTTTACACAAATTCAGTAGTTTTAAATATCACACCTTTTCCGAGTTATATTTAAATATTTAGAAAGGAATTTTAAGTCTGTAGTATTCTATACTGTTTAAAATTTCATGCTGAGTTCTCATCATCATAATGTTTATCTCATTATTATATTTGTGCGATTAATTAATGTACAATAAGAATCTTTTTATCTCAATTAGTTTCGTGAAGCCTTATCTGACGTCCTGTTGCCAAAACACACCGATGCCATACTGTTGAAATTCCTCAGAGGTACGTTTTCCTGTATTTTATCTGTAAATTCAAGGATTCTGTCACGTGATATTGCCCAATTATTACATATTTTGTATCGTAATGAAATCAAGTTATTAATATAACTGTCAACTTTTTTTATAGAAATTTCCCTTTCCACATAGCACACCGCATTAAAAAATACTCAAAATGTTTTTTTAAAAATCTGAAATGTTTCAGATTTTAAATTACGTACAAAGGGGCGTTTTTTAACATTTAATCTGTTACCTTTATTTATTATTATATATCACGTTCTTCGCACTTAAACCATAAAATTCAGTTCAACAGGAATATCGCAACACAGTTTTAAATTGAGCATATCTTTAGAGTTTCTGATACGCAGTCTCACGCGCTGGAGATAATTTTTTTTTTTTTTTTTTTTCTGTACCATGTTGCTATTGCTCGCTTTGAAATACTTGAATTTGTTTATCAAAAATTCGTTAAAGATTTACAAAATATGAAATCGATCATAAAACAAATTCCAAATTTCAAATTTGGGCTTCCACATGCCCATATTCGCAGTAGGATTACGTCATTCAAAATTCGATGGCTCTATGTACCGTTGTTTTATCACAATGCCAAAAATAGACATACATTTATGCAGATTTTTCATTATTTAATTTCTTTAAATATAATTCAGAGCTCTAACATTTGGTGGCAACAGTTTGAAAAGTGAAACGGACATTTATAGTGAACCAACGCAAAATCGCAAAACGAAAAGAATAGTCCTTCAGGTACCAAGCCCCTTTGGACTAATAATTATGTATATATGATGCCTATCATAAGCAATTATTTATTTCCTCTCCCTTTTATTCCCTTTGTTCATTTCTTTTGATTTTCCACTGTATGTCTGAACATACAAAGGGCAAAGGGGCATTTTTCATTAGTTATGTATAACGCTGTGCGCTACCCAACGAGATAATGGTTAGTGACGCGGAATGCCGTATCGAATGGCCCGGGTTCAGATACCGGATAAGATATGGATGTTTGTAAATGTATAATGCCTGTGCGGCATCGGGATACTCTAAATATAGGGCGAGCCGAAAGTCCTCTGGAGAGGCTGCTGGTAGGGTAAAAGGCGTGGGAAACCCTGTGACCCATACCCCGGGGCTCTCTCCATCAAAATTGGGGGCTTAACAGAGCAAAATCATGCCGTCCCCTGTGTCGTGCTCAAAGCTCTTGCCAACACCAGGCGCAATCTTGCACTTCTTGCCACGATGAACTTCGTGGGCTTGTTCTGATGTTACTTTCAGAGAAGTGAGATAAGTCGCAACACTATAATTTGATGCTAAAGATTATTTACTCGATTATTTCTTCATCCCTGACCTTTCTGTATTATTAATGTATCTAGCAGATGTTGTGATATACAATAAATGAAAATCTGATTTAAAATACCGCAAAAAAACTGGATATCTAATTCAAAACACAATAGAAATGGATAATTATGTTTTGGGCTACGCATTAAGGGTTTAGATAACCGTTATAAGAATTAAGGAAAATTCGATGAATTTTTTCTTAGTAGTTGTATTTTCATTGTCACGGCCGAGGTCAAATAAAGACCTTCAAATATTGTTTGGAACAGCTAATTTCGTGAAATAGTTTTTCTCCTTTGATATCTCAGATTTACAGACACAATTTTGTGGCTGTTTCACAGAGTTAAGTAAGCATTCGGACAGTTTTAATTCTGACTTTTGAGAAATCTGTATGCCATGATTTAAGCACACAAGAAACTAATTTTTGCAATCTCTCTTTGTTAAGTTTCTAAAATATTTGATATATTTGTAAGCTTTTATTTTGACCATAATGATCAGATTAAGTTCTACATATTCAGTTCTTTGGCTGTTCGATGCTTTGAGACAGGTGAAATGTTTCCATGTGGGTTGTTGAAAACAAGCTTATACAGTGAGTAAACAAAAGTTGTGGAGAGCCTCATCTTTCTGAGAAGCATACACTAAAGCTTCTTTTAGACGGGCTTTAAGTGGTTAAAGTGGTTAAAGCCGAGCTCCGTTGCCAAGGCAACCAGTCTGTGCTAAGTCACTAAATCTGGTTAAGAGCTCGTGGTTCAAAGTTTTCAACTTTAGGCCGAGTTTGGGATAAGCGTCGACCAATCAGAGCGAAGCTAAAATGAAGCGGCGTTCTACAGAAGATTTCGCTGTTACAAAACAAGCAGAGCGAACGCGGGAAATCAATCGAGAAGGAGAACAGCGCAGGAAAGTTGTAGACACATCCAGGCATGCGCAAATTTAGCTTCTCTCATTGGCCACGGCTTACACCCGTTCTCGCAAGTGTGAACGGAATTCCCGTATTTTATGCCCTTATGATTACGCCTCTATGCCATTTACGCCGCCGTCTGAACGCAGCCTAAGACAACACCTCAGACGGATCAAGTGACTTATGCTATGTCCAGTAAAAAATAGAGAAATGTGAGAATGGTACAAAAGAACCTTTAAGAACATGAATAATATGACAGTACGCACATTTTATGCTTACAAGTACACCAGCATTTATGACGTAACTCAAAAAGTAATGAATTAAAGTTAAAACTAGGTTAAATCTTCAGTTAGCCAAAGACTGCACAGAAATGAGTAGCGCGCAAGGTGGCTCAAATCTATACCGGCGTGACCAAGCACTATTTACCAGACTAAAAAATAAAGCTTCGGAGAGACTGCTAGCTTGAAATTTCAGCTGTCAACGTGGCCTTCAGTAGGTGAAACACGCTCTAATTCAACCTTCCTATAAATATCATTTTTCTCCCCCATTTGAATACGCGCGAACTAGAAATTACCATTCTGGCAGAAAAAAAGAAAGGGAGAGTGACAAGGAAGGTACTTAACATAAAATAATTGGTTAGATAAAATAAATGAATGCTTTAAAAGTTATAATGTAAAATCCCATCCTTTGCAGGAGGTGCTCTAAAACGTCACTAATCTTAATGTCGAAATAATAAGGCAGGAAATAGGGAAAAGTGGAATCGTGGGAGGTCAGGTGAATATGGAATGTTTTGAAAGAGTTCATTAAAAGATTGGAAGCTGTGGTTGGATTTCTTATTTTATAGCAACATTAAACCTCATCAGTCCCTAGCTGAATTTATAGCTTTGATGAAAAATACTTTAGAATGAAAAATATTTCTAGCATGATCTTGCTTTTTCGGCAATTTTGAAGCCATTTCTATTATGCGTAAATATTTGCCGATTTAACATAGCTAATGCCCGCATATTAACAAGTGAAGTACAAAAAAAAAAAAAAAAAAAAAAAAAAAAAAAAAAAAAAAAAAAAAAACTCACCCCCCCCCGTTATACCTATTCTTTAGTAGAACTCTTTGTCTATTTTCATCAAGAGAATAAACTGCTATGGTCAGCCGGCACATGTGAGGTAGTGGGAATTAGTTAGTCACCTTATTATTTTGAACGAAATTGTAAATGCAAGGAATTATAGAGGATATTTCTTCTATACATACCTTATATCCTAGGAGATAATCAGACCGTATTCATAACGTTAGTTTATTATGAAAATCCATATTTCGCTCTGCCTTTTATCTCATTAAGTTGATAATCAGTTAATAGTAAAATAAGAAATGGCCTGGAAATAGAATCAGGAATTCTGTCATCTGAAATCTTTCTATAAATGTACCTGCACATACAGGGTGTTTCAGCAAATCGGTTGCAATCTTTCAGAAGAGTGCACCTAAACGACGGAAACTTATACAGCAATTCATGGTCGGAAACGCTTTCCTGGCGCGGTAGGGACGACACAAGTCACAAGAATGAAAGGACACGAACAGTGTGAGGAAACATGTTTATTATGCTTAGTACAGCAGAAATCAAGAAATACGAACAAAAAATAGAAAATAACAGTCATTAGAGAAGGTGTTTGAAATTGCCACCCCGGATCGTGATGCAGGCCTCAACGGCGCATGGAAGATCTGCGTCACTCATGGAAGATCACGTAGAAGGTACATGACGCCCGATGCCTGCATCACGGTCCGGGGTCGTGATTTCGAACATCTTTGATGAAGATTGTTGTATGTATTTGCTCTTACTTCTAGGTTTTTGCTGTACTAGCCATAATAACCATGTTTTCTCACCCTGTTCGTGCCCTTTCTTTCCTGTGATTTGTGTCATCACTAGCGTTCCAGGAACGCGTTTGTGACAATGCACTGCTGTGTGATTTTCCATCGTCTAGTTGTACTCTATCTCTCCTGAAAGGCAGTAACCAGTTTCCTAAAACGCCCTATAGTATATATGAATGTACCTTATGTACCTAATGTATATATATATGAATGTATATATATATGAATGACCTAATATATATAATATATATATATATAAATTAATATTTATGTATAAAGGAATATATATATATATATTATATATATATATATATATATATATATATGTATATATATAAATGAATTTAAATCTGTGTTTTACTTATTTATTAACTTTTTTCTTTGCGTTTTTATTCTTTGGTAGCTGAGGTGAGTAACTTAATGAAATGTGAGTAATATTTTCGTAACTGATATGAAGATATTTATTTATGAAGTAAATTAATCTTTTTCTTTTTGTTTTTGCTTCAGCTAGGAATTTCAATCTGAACAGGTCTGAGCTACTCTTCCGAGAGGTTTGTTGCTTTATACTACCATAAACGTTTTCCATATTCAAAATTTCAAAGAAACATGTATGGCCATTAAAATTGCTACAAAATGAAAGTAGAAAATAATAATCCCGAAACTGGCATGAAAATTAAAGCATGATTGGGTCGGGAAACGAGTTGCATATTACGGCATGGGTTTATTACAGGCAAGAGTAGTAATAAATCGAAACAATATTTAAAAAAACCAGACTGAAATACTGATTTTTGTATTCAGAAATTGTGTTTATTGCTTCTGATGAAAACAGCTTTGGCTCCTCTTGGTCAATACTGGGGGATAGTCTACGACAAATTTTCTTCTTTTTGTTGGTGACCGCTTTATGGTCG